GTCACTACATTTGGCCGTGTACGCGTATCGAGTGTCCTGACTGCCGTTGCTCCCGCGGGTCCTGCCTCCGGTTGCATTGCTGCTTTAGTTTATTATGTAACTGTAAAAACATGCCTCACTCTCCATCTCTCTCTCTCTCCCCCCGTGTGTGTGTGTGTGTGCCCCGTTGCGTGGCTGTTGTTATAGATTTAGGCCATGATGTCGTAACTGGTTAGCGTGCCTTGTAAATAATTGAATAACAATGCCCGCAATTTTTCAACATCATGTGGCAATGTTTGCCTTTGTTTTGGGAATTAGATTGCCCGTTGCCACTGCATATTGCGGGTCTTGGTTAGATTTAGATATACGGCTAAAAAAAAACAATACTATAACATTTACCAGGCCATAAGCACGCTCAACAACATCCGCTTCTGTTTATTCTGCATTCAATTCATATTAAACTTAATAAAGTTCAGCTTGGGACTAAAATTAAATAAAGTTATTATTTATATTAATTTCAAGTAATTTAGAAAATATATATATTAATTGGTTTATATATTAGTGGATGAATATAGAAATTATAAATGGAATTATGAAACGTTGCCACGGTGACAGTTTTGAGAAAAAAGTCATATAAATGTTTATATGGAAGGACACAGGCAATACATGTTAGATATCAGGAATAATATCCCGTTAATGTAGTTTCTAGTGTGAGATATTTAAGGCTACAAGTTAGAGTTATTACAGTTCATAAAGAGAGATCGACAGAGAGATAGAGTGTGTGTGTGTGCGAGAGAGAGAGAGAGAGAGAGAGAGGGAGTGGGATAGTGAGAGTGAAGAGAGCACCCATTCATTCATGTTAACTGATATAGACTCAAATTTTAAGCAAAAAATTGAATTAATTTTTAAGAACTTATAAGTTTCAGATGTAAACATGTTATAAATAATATAAATATGTATTTATTTTTTTATATAAATATTTATTTATTTTTTTATATAACAGATTTCGTCAAGATTATAAATTCACTTCTTTTGCATAATTATTTTAACATACTCTCAGATATAATAAACCTCAAGCTCTCCATTGCAAACAATATGAAGAAGTCAACAAATTTGCGAAGAGTGTGAGAGAGTTGTCTTTTCTTTATAATGTTTGCTGCGAGGTATCTGCTTGTCGGATATATCCTTAATATATCATTACTCAATCACTCTTAGTTACCTTATTTATCTAATTAGTAAGACATAATAAAAACGCTAATTATTAGGAACAATACAAAATCAGGTTTGCTGCTTTCAGACCGATTATCGCTGTTCGAGCTTTAATAAAGTTGAGTAAATTTGAAAGCCCCGAAGAGCCCCGACTGGGATCAAATTTCAATGCTGGGAAAATATTTTCTGTTTCCTGTGGAAAATTGATCGGAATATCGAGCCAATTTTAATTAATGCATTTTGTTGTAAGGTGTGAGGCACCTGGCACCCTCACTCCCGCCACCCTTCCACGAGCAAATCCAATTAGAAATTTTGCGCTTTTTGCACGCTTTATGTGTTATTAAATATTTCACAAGAGGCTGCAAAACAAATCATGTTGCAAAAGTGCTATTATTGCTATTTTGTGAATCGTGGATGCACGCGGCACAATTTAAATGAATATTTGAGCAACAATATTGCGAGGCGGATGGGCAGGCCAACGCGGCGTATGCGTCTTGTTTATGTGAGAGCGCTGCGAAAACATTTGCCAAATTGTCGCCAAAGTGCATGATGGGTTAACTTGCACATAAATTGAGTATAAAATATGTATGCGGAATGCGTAAAATTGAAACTAAATTAGAAACATAAACTGTCTAGCTGCATGCTAATCACATGGACTAAATAAAGCTCGGTAAATATTAACTTGGCGTATTTGTAGCCGAGATAAATGTAAAGATAAGCATAAATGACTGAGCAAAGTGAATCATTCAAAATTCTCGAATTGGGTATTTTATGAATATAAATTATAGTTGAAGTTTATTCAAGCATTTCTAATAAGCTGAATGCTTAAGCAAACACACACACACACACACACACACACACACACACACACACACTGGCACACTTATACTGTGCATATATTGATATAAACTTTGCCTTTGGTATGTCTTTCATGGAAATTATAGTTTCGGCTGGAAATTTCATTTTAATCGTTGCCCAAAATAATGACAAAGCCATGAGCACACAGCAGGCGCTTCAGTGGGAGACAGAAGACATGTTAATAGATTTTGCTGTGGCCCTGGGATGTGGCTAAAAGTGATTAATTATGGTTAATAAAGAGGAAAATCGTTGCCGATTAAAATTGTTGCCGCTGTTAAGCCAGTTTGATGTGTGCATAGAATACGGACGTACAGCACGACAGTTTATATGCTCGAGTTCATTTCAGAGCCACTGAAAGGGTTTAATGAGACAATTAACACACATTCCGGCCCTGACAGGCATTTGAAAACCCATAAAACGCACTGAATATGCCAAGTTATTGTAGTTAGGCAATCAATTGGAAATTTATTTTCTATTTAAATTTCAATATGCATTCATTATAATTTACGGAATCAACATAGAAAGCGTTTCAGATAATTGTTAAATATATTTTATTTTGTATATGTATAATATATTATTATTAATAATCTAATTTTGTATTATATTTTCTTGTATATATAATATATTACTATTAAAAATATTATTATTTTTCATTAATTTTATATAGAAAATTATTTTAAAATTATTTTTAATTGCATGTATTCTATTTAATTCATTTTTTTTATTTTATTTATTTTAAATATAAAATAACAGCTATATTAAAAGTAATTATTAACGAATATAGCTCACGCTCTGTTCTTACCAAGATAAACTCATCAAAATTTTAGATTTTTTAATAACATTTTTTGATAGTCCAATTCTATTGGCCACGCCCCCTCCATGGCGGTCCTCCCCTTCTGGCCGCTGGCGAGGCAACCCAAAAGCAATGCACATAATTCACATGGAGCGTATAATTGAAATATCGTGACTTGGCGCTATGCTCTCTGGCCGGCACATAAAATTTTATTAAATGCAGAGCAACGGCATCGGCAAGGGGCAAGGGACAAGGGGCAAGAGCAGAACAACGAGTACAATGAGCAAACTAGACGCACGAGCCATTATAATTTTAGACATAATTTATGATAGCACTTGCTAGATACTCGCCTCAAATACATGCATAGATACATACATATATACATATGTATGTATATAAATACATATACATCATTTCTGCTTTCATTTTGCAGTGTTGCCAGAAGACAAAGCGAGTTTATTAGCTTTTTCCAGGTTGTAAGAATATTATTTAAAATTAACTTTATTGAAACTAGAAATTAGAAATCATGTACTACGATTTCGTCAGAGAAAAGAATGAAATAATATATATTATTATTATATTTAAAATGAACTGTAAAGAAACTGGAAACCTGAAATCATTTACCAAGATTTCTTTATATAAAATAACATAATTACATAAACTATATCAGAGAAGCTTAAGAATATTATTTAAAATTAACTTTAATGAAACTAGAAATTAGAAATCATGTACTAAGATTTCCTCAGAGAAAATAATAAAATAATATATATTATTATTATATTTAAAATGAACTGTACAGAAACTGGAAACTTGAAATCATTTACCAAGATTTCTTTATATAAAATAACATAATTACATAAACTGTATCAGAGAAGCTTAGTATTGAAGAATTAAAATTAAGTATAACCAATCAATTACTAAGCCAGCTGAAGCTCTCAGAGTCGCCTCATCAGCAGTCTTAGCAGTCTAATCAGCAGTCATATCAACCTGGCTTAGCAAGCAGAGTATTAGCCAGTCGATTCAGTTTGAGGCTTTTCTTCAAATATATTTGATCTACTTTTATTTCGTTGCACATGTATTGTAAACTTTGCGTGTGAGCAATATTAAATAGAAAGCACGAAGTGTTGCTGCTTCTGTCAAATTGCCAAGTGCTCAAATTGGCCGCGATATAGAGACAGATACAGATACAGATACAGATGCAGATACCGCAGAGATACTTGGAGCTGCTGTGTTCTGTAATTGTAAGTCACTTTGCATGTGCGACACGCAGACCGCCGTATCCTGCCTCTGCATATGTGTGTGTGTGTGTGCGCGGAAGCGCGTGTGCCTTTAAATAACGATACACTTGTGTATCTGGCGACGAGCCTGCTGATGCTGCTGCTCTTATCGCGCTTCGTAAATCACGGAAATACAATGTAACAGTTTGTCATAAAGTTGACAGGAGCGCGCGCTCCCGACGCACTCATCGGCTGTAGATAAATTAAATATCTTAATGATTTTCAGCAACAAAAGGCAGCTGAGTTTTATTTATTGTTCACACAGCAACCACCTGCCCACGTACACGCACACGCACACGCACACGCACACTCACAGGCATCGCATCCCTAGATAGTAGCTGCCGTTGAAAGCGATTTAAATTCAATTTCACAAATTATTAACAGCTCCCAGTGCGGCTTCTCAACTTGATTGGTTAACAACTGACGATTGCTTTGTAGAAGTAGTTGTTTATAATCTAATTACGTGGGAATTAGAGAAGGTTTATCGGAGGTATAAAAGGCGAGGCTTAAGCAGAGCGACAAGGCATTGTCTTTAAAGTAAAAGAACAGAAATGATTATTAGATATGTGAAGGCAAGGACTGTTGGCAGTATCGTGGGGCAGAAAGGAGCTGAAGAATGACAAGTACAGAAGATCTGAGCAAAGCAGTTATAGATTATGGTTTTCCTATCTATAGATAGGAATGAGTCTTCAAATTTATGGCATACAGTCTATATGCAGCACAGTAAATGTGATATTAATATGTAGATATATATCATTATAAAACAGCCATGCAATTATAGTAGTATTTTGTCATTAATAAATGAGATTGGGCCTGAGGTGCTCCAATAAGGAACGCCTGAATGAATTATAATAATATAATTTATTGAAATATATATACTTCACTGACAACAGAGGCACCTGGGATTCTGTATTAAAAAAATATATAGAAATATTTACACTTTATCATTTGCTTAGATTTGACTCAATCTCTAATAAATTATATTATAAATTAGCTACATATGTAAGCTTGACTAATTGCTAATTTCCAATGATACGTTTATCAGTTACGCAACTTTATGGATCTCAATAATATGCGAAAAAGTATGACGTTGTAGAATTAGTCTTAAGAAGTCTGCACGATGAAGCTGATATTCGTTTTAATTTGCACTTTGTACTTGGAGTTTGCAATCGCGGAAGAATTCTTGAGTTATTTTGATAGTAAGCAAATGAACAACATCCGAAATAATATATAGCAACTTTATCAACTATTCTCAGAAATGTGTTCAACTGATATTCAGCCCGGAAAATGTGGAAAACGAAATTCATATTACTTCAACAAAGAAAAGCAAAGGTGTGTAAAAGCTAAACCGGATAATCGCTGTGGACCTTTTACAATTCGAAGAAGATGCCAAAAAATTTGCAATTGCCTTCGTAAAAAATGTTCAATTAAAAACTGTAGATAATTATATATTTTAATATATATATTTCTAATATTATATATTTTGTGTCAGATAGACTATAGAAAATAAATATATTTAAAGGGAATGGAAAACCAAAAACGTGTGTTTCGAAAATATATTACTCAAAAACCAACGGTTAGCTCTGTGTTATGTCGATCCAATTTCGCATGGATGCCTCACTAAATGCATATTAGATACGATCACCACATTCAAGGCGTAGAATATGTACTCTGTATTTAGTCTTAAACTGTCTGCAGCATGAAGCTGATATTTGTTTTAATTTGCACTTTGTTCTGGCACTCTGCCATCACAGAAGATAAAAGCCTTAAGCTAATAATGAGTAAGCGATTAGTGAAGAACCAAAATCATATAGCGATTTAACCAACTATCGCTCAGGCATGTGCAATTCTGGTCTAATGAAAGGAAAATGTGGGCTAACAACATTTTACTATAACAAAAAAACCAGGAGATGCGTCCTCGTCGGCCCGAAATTTGTCTGTGGATATTTTGTAAATCAGGAGAAATGCACACAAGTCTGCAGATATCTAATTAAAGGTTATTAATTGGATGCCAAGCGATAGAAATGACGAAAGAAATCACATATCTCTTTTGGTATTTTGTGCAGCATAATAAAAATATTTTGTTTTGATTTTTTTATATTTTTATTTTCATTTTTGATCAGAAGTCAGTGAATTTGATCTAAGTTCATATTATTTATAGTATTAGCTATTAGTTATATAAATTGCTAATAATCCCTCATATTTGTGTTAATTATTAATTCATATTTTATTATTAGAATATTTATAGAGCATTTCAACAACGTTTAACTTTGGCCTTCCACCAGATATGATTTCCTCTTGTTACCAGGCTAGTTTCCAGCATTTACTTTTTCTCTCCTTCTATTTTTTTGTCTCTGGTTAGTTTGGTTAGTTTGCGAGTTACTTCATTTTAAGGATTTGGTGGCAGTGTCATTGGCAGGCGATTGGCCTTGTTTGTTGTCTGCTTTGGTTTCGTTTGGCTTGGAGCTGGCGCTAATGAAACATACTTCTCTAGTACGTTGTTATTTCATTTGTTATCCTTCCTTCAACTGGCTGATTGTCTGACTGTAGGGCTGCCTGACTGGTTGGCTATCTGCCCCTCGTTCCGCCCACTCGTCGAGCCACGTCTTCGCCAGCATTTAGCTCATTCTCCTGCTGGCTTTGCTTGGTTTCTTGTGTCGTCCGTTTTATTAGATTTTATTTGCTTAGCCTTTATTTGTCTTCTGCCGTCATTCTCGTTCCAGTGCTAAGTGTCCAATTTTAGCTCGGTGTTTTGTTCTACCCCTGCCACAGGGCAATCGGCAATAGAGTGTGATAATTTTTACATACCCTGTACTGGTTGAACCTAGAGGGCGTACTTAGTAGGGTGTTTATTTGTTATCATTATTTTTAGAAGAATTAATTAAGCAATATATAATAATAACATGAAATTATCTATAGGGCTCTGAAAGGGAATTTGAAGTACAAAAATATAAATTTGCAATAATATTTCAAAAATAAAACTGAAAAATTCTTTAATGAATATTTTTCTTACAAATTTATTTAATACAAGAAAATTTAATAAAATCAGAAAATAAGAAACAAATTCTCTCAGATCAAAATTTCAATTAAAAATTTGATATTGTATATTAAGTAATTACTTTTCAGATTTTTAATTTAATTTAATTGTTTCTTTCTACAACTTAAATCATACAGGGTATTCTGAAGCCCATCAGATTTTCGTTCGCATTGCGCAAGTTTTCTTGTTGCTTTTGCGCTCAACATTCGCCGGCTACAGCAGAAATTGTTATAGCCGCATTCCTCTTGTGCTTTTCAGCTGGGCGCTCGTTTTATTTACTTTGGCCTTTTGTTTGTTAGCTTTGTGTAAAAAGTTTCAGGCTGCGACCAACTGGCCACATGTGCCCGACCAGGCCCAGGCCGCCGTTTACAGCTCCTGCCGAGCTGTCGTTTTGTGTGAGTGTGTGTGTGTGTGTGTGTGTGTGTGTAAATTCGTCAAGTTTGTAAACACAAATTATGACAATTAAGTTGACTGTTGGCTTGTTTGAGCTGCTCGGCTGCCGTCTGCAAACTTTGCTTGCAATTTAATGGGAAATTGCATTAAATTCTTTTGGCAGGCGCATTACGCATACGCCACGTGGTGCGCAGGTAAATTCGATTAAAAATTGTTCTTTGACACGAGCAGCCGGCACTGCTCCCAGCCACACTCGTTCCACTTTTGCTTAATTTTCATTTTCATTTTCATTTTCATTTCCATGCATTTGTGTGTCAAAAGTTGAGGCTGCCAATTGCAGTTGGCCCCAGGAGCCAGATGAGGACGAGAACGAGGACGAGCCGCAACCTGCTGTTAAAGGTGCAAGGTGCAAAGTGCCAGCATTCACAATTGTTCATTAGATTAGCAAGTTGGTAAAGTTTGCAGAGCTCAAATGCCACTTTCACGGCTGCTGACACACTCGAGTTGAATCCGATTGGATTTCACTGCTCCGCTGCTTTTTCCATTTTTCTTTTATTTCTTATTTTTATTTTCTTCACTCTGCTCAGTTCGCCAAGTATTTTATGAATTTTCTTATCAATGCAAAAGGCGAAGGCGACAAAAATTTACGTGCAAAGTGGCAAGTTGTGACAACGCTGGGAAGGACGAGAAGGACGCACACTGACAGCATGAAGAGTGTGCTATGCTACGTATGTGTGTGTGTGTTGGTGTTGCAACTTTTGCGTACTTGCGTCCCGCCCACTGCCTTCCATTCACAATTTGTCATTGAAGTTGCTGCTGGAGCTGCCGATAAGAAACTTTGCCCTGATATGAGTAAAATGCGGCTATTGATGGCAAACGTTAGCAGCCGAGTCCCTTTGGCGTTTTCAGCTTGAATTAACATTTGTATGGATCGCATGGACCCGGTGCAAAGTGTGGTGAAAATAAATATTTTATGGGTTTCTATGAGCATTTTGCAATTTGAATGCGATGACATAAATTCCATAATACTCGGTAATAATCTTAAAGCAGCTTAAATTATGTTTACTCATGCTCGCATTGAGAATTAAATATATGTGCTTAAGCATATGGTAATAGATTTTATACACAGCAATTATTTAGTCAATTGGCTGTGCTCTCAGTTGAAGCTGAAGAGCGAGAGGAAAATTTAAATATTCTATGATAATCTAAAAGTAAAACAATGTATTGAATCAAGGGAATATTTTCTGAACTGATTAGAAGAGATTACCAAGGATGTAAATCTCATCTGTAGTTTCCGTTGGATTTGTTGCTAATCTGTTACTTTTAGCTTGTCGGAAAATGTTTCTATTTTCGTTAAAAAATCATTCGATTTTCCATATTTTTTGGCCATTTCCCGGAAGGAAAGTTGCCTTTTGAATAATAACGCTTGCTTTTTAGAGATGAGTTAGAGCTTGGACACTAGATGCACAGTAGAGATACATAGACACACACACACACATGTACACACACTCCCGCACACGCACACACATGCATAGCTGTTGGCAGCTGGTACTGGGTCTTGCCTAGCAAACACAAATACAAATATAGCGCACTGGCCCACACACACACACACCGACTAGCTCTTATTCACTCACACACATATATACACCCTTTTTAGTGGAAACGGAAAGAGAGAAGCCGCCGATACGCTTTTGGGATGGGCGTGGTTCGCCCACCGCTCGCTGGGAGCCTGCAAACTTGTTAAATGGCGCGAAATTCTTTTCAATTTCAATTTCGAGCTGTAGGCTTCTAACATTTTGTGGTAGTCGTCGCAGTTGTCGCTGTTGTTGTTCTTGTTGTTGCTGTTGTTGTTGTTCTGTTGTCTGCGTTCTGCTGCGAGTGCTCAAATATTTGCATTCGAACTCAATTGGTTGCGTTTTGTGTTTATTGCCTTTTGCCTAGCCTAGCCTAGCTAGCTGCTAAAATAGAACGTGTTTTCCTTCATTTTGCTCTGCACGTTTTTTGTTTTGTCGGTTTAGTTCGGTTCAGTTCGGTTCGGTTTGGTTCAGCTTGGTTTGGTTTGGTTCGCTTTCAATATTTCTCTGTGAGCTGCGCGCGGCATGTTGACAGCCGGTCAGCTGGGTGAGCTCTGGCCAGGTGAACTGCTCGCCTCCTGTCCGCGCGCCAAATGGAAATTCAAACGAACTGCCCGCATGTCAAATGCGCTGAGAAAATTACTCAAAAAAAAAAAAAAAAAAAAAACTAAGCAAAAAAAAAAAAAAAAAAAAAAAAAAGAAAGCCTACAACGCGTAAACCCTAACGGGGCGTGGCTCTAGGCTATTTTTTCGTCGGTTTGAGCTCGCGGCAGGGCTTAGTCGTGTTTGCACAGCTGACATTTTGGTCAAGTTTGTGCTGCATTAAAAAAGGAACTGAGTATGTGGCAAAAGCAGATATACAAGCATATATATTCGCAGTAAAATACTTTAAGCAAATAGATATACACATGGATGGGTATACATACATATACATATGTATGTATGAGTTGGCCCATAAATTATGGCCACTGGCCTAATGCATTTGGCCTCATATTAATCAATGTGTCTGCCGGTTCATGTCTGCCAATTTTTTTTGCTATGCACTTTCTGCTTTTTCTGTAATTTATTTGGCCAACGCAATTATTTGCATTTTATTTTGGTCATTTAAATGCATTTTTTGTTGTCTCTAGCTGCAAATGCATGAACATAAATCAAATCGGTTTTTGTTCGGCGCACAATTCGCCTCGTTGATTTGCATTGGGGATTTGTTTATAAATCCGCAAATACACGACGCTCTAAATAATAGTTTAGCGTATTTATATTGCTTTTTAATTGTTGGCCTCGTCTAACTAACTCGATTCAGTTTTTTCTCATTCCTATTTATTTATTTATTTAATTTTTTTTACTGGCAGCATATGCTGCCGTGTGGTCATTTAATTGCAGCATATAATATTTGTTATAGGTATTTTTTAAGTATTTTATTTATTTTCGTTCAATCTTAATTCGCTTTAAATATTTATATTATTTATTTATTATTTATATTTAAAGATACGCCGTATGTGCAACTGCAACTGAAATTTAGGTGGAATGTTTTCAATTTTTCATTAATTTTTGTCTCGTAATATTTTATGTTATATGTGATATGGAGTTGGATGTGGCATATGGCACTGTCTTCATGCGGAATTATTTATGTATAGAAATAAAGACAAATAAATGCATAATAAATGTAGTATACACATATGAGGTGTATTTTAAAATTTAAAAAATAATTATTTATTCAGGAATATCTATTTTATTACCTTCAAAGTTAGCTGTTTCAGATATTAATATATGTAACATTTTTTATTTATATTTTATTTATTTTTTAAATATATTTTTTCCTATATGTGATACAGCTTTTTAAACTCTTTCATCTTTACTTTTTACTTTAGATTTAAGAAATCATTTTTTAACCATATCAATAAATAGACTTAAACGACAACTGATTCAATTGCCTACTGAGTATATTCAAACCCATTAAAAATGAACTTATTTCAATTTCATAGTGACTGGGTCTGTGCATTGACTTCAATGTAGCTCAAATAATTCAACGACAGTTTTCAACTCAAAAATGTCTGTAAATCAAATGCAGATAATTTTCCAAATA